ACGTCACTTCGGTGATACAACTGAACAAGTTCCTGAGCCACTATTTTGGCACCAGTCTCGAGTCCGATGATGCCTTTGCGCTGTACGTCCTGTCTTCTTTCCTCGAAGACGGTCGAAATCATCATCACTGTCATTCGTGACAAAGAGAGTCGCCTGCTGCCTGGCTCCGCCCGCATAGCGGCGGTTAGATCACTTGAGATCGGCTCTGACACTGACTATCGGGCCTTTCGCGAACGATACCAGTTCATGCTCTACGAGAGCCCCGTTTGCCTTCCTGTCATCTCAAAGGTGGTCCCCAAGACCCTTTATAAGGTGGTGCCACTTCGGATGTATCGGCTCTACGTAGAACGTGGAGCCATCATTCGGGGTGGACGAGCTATGATCGAGCTCCTCCCATCCAGGCCGGATGAGTACCAGCCCATTCGCGATCACGGTGAATGCCCTGCCGACACTGTCGACCGCCTCACCGACCGCAACGTGACCGAGCTGCACACTTCGGGTCGACGCCGAAGAAGCGACCCCCGGTACGTGGTCATGGCAATCGATGCACGTTTCTTCTCCATGGAGAACGGGGGTATGCGCATCACTCGCCAAGGTACCTTTGCATCGCGCGAGAATATCGCGATCGGGTACTGGCGATGTGTCTACTTCAAAGACTGCTCCATCATATAAGTGAGGTCATGGTGCTATCCGCCCAACTTTCTCGTCTCCATTGGCGAAGACCCGAGAAGGTGCCGGAACGAGATGGAGAAGACTCACCAGGCCACGAAGGTGGAACATGTCCGGGAGGTGTTGTCCATTCCATGCCATAGGTGCATGACGGCTCATCCGATCAGCGCCTCGCACGATAGCGAGCACTGATGGGGTGATTCCCACCTGGTTGAAAAAGTGCAAGAACGTCGTCCCCGCCCTGTGGAACAACGCAGACGCAAACGCCATCGGGATGGCCCTCTACTCGCAGAGCCCCGCATTTGACGCTCGGTCGTTGCTGATGTCTGGAATGCGACCTCCTAAGTTCCTCGACAAAGAGGACGTAGACAGCATTTATCAGAAGCTCAATGACTCGATCCGGGACGAGATAGTCCACAACAATTATCAAGATACCGTTGACCACAACGTGGAAGAGTGGGTGGCGAAGGCGATCTTGGTAAGGGGTCTTGCATTCCACGGGAGCACCGTTTCCGACTTCTTCGAGGAGTGTGAGGGATATGCGGCAGAGTGGGGCAGGCGCCTAACCACCGCGAACTTCAACGCCAATCGCTGTGGCTTCTACACTTCATATTACCTGACCGAAGCCCACATCATTGGCCTGAGATCTGGGCACATTTCCCTGATACTTCCGAACGACGTGACGGGGGATGTGTTCAAGTCCCAGGTGGCGCTTCTCGCTCAGCACTGCGGGATATTGCAGGCCATGCAAAGGAGGGCCGGTTTTGACCCTGCCGCACGCTTCAAGCAGGCCATGGATGCAGCGCAAGCGGGCGTTGCAAAGAGCTATGTCTCACACGCTCAACGACCTCGCCAGCATGGATGATTTGATTTACCGAACATCCACCGTCGCTTACGACACATGCCTTGCTGACCGTCCGCAAACGCAGGATGACATCAAGCAGGAGCTGGCTGATCCGACGCCCAGGAAATATCGTTTCCGCCCCCGCGATCGTCTACGACCCGCCTTACACCGTGAAGGATGACTAATGAGGAGGAGCCCGATTTTGCCGGATCCGAGGAAGGTGAGCAAGGGTCGGATGGCTCATCACATGATGACGTCGAGGAGCCTGAGGACCTTGACGAGCCCATGGATGAAGACGTGGAGGAAATCCCTCCCCCACCGCCACCGGCCCCGGCTCCTCCCGCACCGCCTGTCCCAGTAGAACAGACCCTCGTGGTGTTCCACGCGAACATCGGTCCTGGGGAAGCTGCGCCCATTCCTCCTCCTCCTAGCCTCCTCCCGTTCCTATCGCAACCGACGTCACGACGACTAGTGACCCATTTGAAGAGGAAGACGTGGCGGTCAACACTCCTGTCCCTGACACTGAATCCGAGCTGGAGGCTGAAACCGATCAACCTAAGGCCAGAAGGACGTCTCGTGGTCGTGTCCCTGCGCCCGAAAAAGGGCAGGAGGGCGCTCTCATCCCGCCTGGCGGACAACCGAGCTCTAAGAGCATGGCCCGCCGCGAGAAGCGGTGCGGAAGAAGGGGCCAGGAGGGGCAGGACAAAGGGGTTCTCCTTTCACTGGCGAAGAGGCGGCTCCTAGGGTTCGTCTTCGATCTGGTGGTCCCGGAACTCCTGCGTCCCCACCACGGGATGCCACTGGTTCCTTGGGCGGCCGTAGCACCTACGACCCGCGTGATGATGACGACGGGGAGTGGGAACTCCCTCCGGGTGTGCCACGGACCACTTGCGCGGCTGATGAGTCGCGACCCCACCGAGAAGACGATCGGTCAAGGACAGCGCTTGGGGCGTGCGACGACCGTCGCGGCCCTAAAGGAGAGGGCAAGGGTCGAGGGAAGCACCGACCTGGTAAAGGTGGGCGCGAGGATCCTGGCCCGCCCCGACAAAGGGATGACCGTGCCAGGGATGCGCGCGGAGGCCGGCGCGATGCTCGCCGACCTCCTCCACGCCGTGAGGAGCCGTCCGAGAGGCGCGGTCCGGGGCGAGATGGGCGCCGCGGACGTGATGGCCCCTGACGACCGTCGCGATCGCCACCGAGACCGGCGCAGAGATGATCGACGCCACCAATCGGATCCCCCTCCGCCTCGCCGACCTCCGGCTGGCGACCGCAGTAGAGATGGTGATGAGGATCGCCGTCGGGATGGAGGATGACCGCGGTGGCGTCGGAGAGATGACGCGCCCAGAGACCGGGAAGAACCCGGTTCAGGGTGGTAGGCGGGTACCGCGATCGTCATCCGCCTTAGAAGGGCGAGGATGGCGCGCGTGTCGCCGAAAAAGGCGACTGCACCGGTCCTCTACTCGCCCGTGCGGCGCTGCTGTGGGTGATGATCTCCATTGCCCTATACCGCTGATCCGGCGTTGTTCATGCTCCTCCCGCACCGCTGCCGTGCGTGCTGGAGATGGTTCCCCTAGTGATCGTGTGAGGCTGAGATCGCACTAGAAGAGCTGGGCCGGCCATAGATGGGTAATTTCCTTTTCAAGTTCCCTTTCAACTCGGGTATCTTCAACCACGTTGTGGCGTGCCGTGAGGTGCGGTGATCCAGATAGGATCCCCCTCCGGATCTCACTGTACCAAAGCAATACATGAACGGCACGAGAGGAATCTTCGTCTGGCTCCTCCAATATGTCCTTGTTCACTCATGTGGCCCATTCGTCAAATAATCCTGTCGCCCCGCTAATTCGGGGTGGTGGCGGGACTTTAACTGGGGCCCAGGTGATGCCGTTTGGCTCACCAATGAGTTGACGCTGGCATTTTGGTAGGTTCCTTTCGTCGTGAACTCAACTGTCATGCATCCTTTCTCTCGTCTAGACACCGGATGAGGGGGGTGTGTTTTGTTCACGTGTTGTTTCTTCATAAAGCAAATCGGCCGAATGGCCGTTTGGCTCAAGTTTTCAACCCCCGTCAGTGTAACTCTGGTACCACGTGCGGACGCCATACAACGGCAGCCGCCCACATCATCGGGAAAAGGTCTCGGTGCTGGGGGCAGCTGGTTGTGGGAGGTATCCGGTGGTGCGGCAGGGTTTGCTGGGTTTGGTTGAGTACTTCTACTTCTTCTACTTGATTCCCAACTGTCCCAAACCTCTCTTTTACCAACCGTCACTTCCTCAACCCGGTCACCATCCACAGCTTCACCCGAGTTGTGTTTCCGGGTGCTTTGGGTACATTGTGGTCTACCTTGTGCTCATTTGCTTCCCTGGGCTACTTCGTGTTCGCCCAAAACCGCAAAAAAACAACGCTCCAAAAAATGTGCAGCTGTCACGTCTAACACGTATTGGACCGAGCTCGTTGCACAAGCAACTCGTAACCTTGAACAGGGCTACATCCCACCTGGCCCACCTGAAAAAACGGAATTCCAACTTGCAAACTTAAATTCAATTGTTGTAAGAACTGCTTTGGGTTGTGTTCTGCTGCAAGTTTTGATTCATCGGTGGCAATGCTGGTTCTTGTTTTCATTTTAAGCCACGACATGTGGCAGTGAAACCTGACAAATGCTATTCCCTGACAAAGTGGCATCAGTTGTGTGCAATATACAGATCTAAGGAAGATATGTAGCTCTGCGACCATATCTAGTACAACAACAATCCCTTAGTATTGCTGTTGGCCAATCCATGATTTCTACACGCCGCGGTGCAGGGTAAATTCAAGCCAACCCGGTACATGATCTTTTGCCCACCTAGCGACATCTACTGAGTGAACTTGTTTGTCTTGATTGCGTTGCTTGAGTTTTGCTGCTTTCCTTTTGGCAAAGTCCTCAGTTGTTCTGTCACGCAATCAAAGCACTTGGAACTGCACCCTGCGAACCTATGATCATTTGGTGTATATGACTTCATCCATACACTCCATCCTACCAAGAAGCAAAAAGCCTGCTCGGGGCCGTTGCGGCAGCCGGTTTCTCGCAATAGTTTTTCATGATTTGTGTTTTGTGAAATCATGGGTCTCACAACAGTGCTAGTTAGTGCCCCCCGCTCGTGCTAAATTTGCAAGAAACGATGCCTGCGTACACGTTGTGTTTTTCGATGCCCATAGAATATTGAAAAAAACTACTTGGCCCAATTGCTGGCTTCAGGTTTAAACAAAAACTGATCAACACAAACCAGCGATATCACCAATGATGCCTTCATCATCTCAATCCCTACCCATACTGTCTCAAACACACTAATCCTTTCATGTTCAAATGCAACTGATGAAATGCCAAAGTGTTTGTTTTTCATTTCAAGTTCCTTCATGTTCATTCATGCTCATTCAAACCCATTTGAAGACAGTAACGGGACACTTTCGAAAACTTGGTCGGACAAAAGACAACTATAGCGGGAAGAGCAGTCAATCAGATTCGAGCACATTCTCAGTTTATGGAATCCTGTCGTCCCAATGTGAAAAATGTGAATTGGAGCAATGCTCGCATCCAGTGAAGAGCCTGCCAACAAGATGCGTCGGCTTAACACTGGTGAGGATTGGAACCGCAAGCTGCTAGCCAGTGGCCCTTATGCAGCGGTGGTTCCAGATGGCAGTGTACCTTTTGTAAACAGGCATGAGGAGATGTTCGACCTTTTTGAGGCCAATGCTGATGTGATATTGCGATTGCAAAGGGCTCGCGCTGAATCTCTGCAAATCGACAATTGGCGACCATGCAGAGTAGCCATAGCTGCGCAGATGTTTGGCAGCGGAAAAACAACTCTTGGCCGCAACTTCATACAGCAGTTGAAGGACTCAGAGTACGAGAAGTTTGCAAAAGAAAAGATAGCCCGATTAGAGAATAAAATGATTGAAGAATCCCTGGAAGCTGAATGGAATCTGATGAAGAGGGCACGCACCCTATATTGGGATCTCTCTGGATGCCACACCGTGGAAGCCGTCGCAGACCGCCTTACAGGCAAGAGCCACGGGGATGTCTCAGGCCACATTGCCAACCATGTGATGTGCAAAGCCATCAAGGGTGGTGCGACGCCTTTATTTGTTCATTTTGATGAAGTTGGGGAACTCGGCAACCAAGTTGGCGACCTGCGTGAGGCAATCAGACAGACATGGAGCAAGATGTTGGAGCAAGAGGCCGATCAGCCGATGCAACGCATTTATTTTTTTCTCAGTGGCAGGGACGTCCCATTGAATGCGTTGGGCAAGCCCGGCTCACCAATTGGGACAAAATGGATCATCCTAGACATGCTCAAAGAAGAGCACATCAAGAGCATCCTCAGCACATCGACACTGTCACAAAAGCTTCGTGAGTTCAGTGAGTTGAATGGACTGCCAAAGACACTGGTACAATGGACAGGTGGCAGCCCCCGACTCCTAGTCTACTGCCTCAGGGCCTTGCATCACCTAAGCGAGGAAGGGGTATCGACTGGAGACGGTGAGCAGACCATGGAAATGGTGTATAGTATCTTCCAGGAAGTCCAGGCAATCGCTGGTGAGGTTTTCTTGGCTGCAGAAGATGAGGGGGACTGGCGCGAGACATGGATGTATTTGATCTTGTTGGCACAGCTGCGGGTGCCTTGTCACCGCAGAATGGTTGTACATGTGGGCAACAGTGAGAACAATCTGGAGACGCTGCTAGGCCGATTGAACATCTACATCAGCAAACCATCCAAACTCATTGTGGGTATAGAAGACCCTTTTTACATTTGCCACATGAAGATGGTGGAGAAGTTTGTGCGTGCAAGATTCAGCTCAGATTGCCGGGTGCACTTGTTCCTGGGTGCCGAGACGGGAATGAATGCTGCTCAGCTTTTGGAGTGCTTGGTGGAGCAGCGAATCATTGTGAAAGCTTGCTTGGGCCAGGATTTTGCTTGCTTATGGAAGGTCCTGCTGAACCCATTGCTTGACGGTACAATGGCCGCTGACAAGGTGGTAGTGCTGGATAAGGGATCTCCTTTGAAACCCTTTCCAAAGATCACGCAGCAAGCAAAGTCCTTGTCTGAGGTGACGTTGCCACTCCCCAACATCCTACACCCCAACAACTTGTCGGCCGCCATGGAGAAGCTCGACAGCAACAAAGTATATCGACCAGGTCAAAAGTCAGGGAGCGCTGATACTTTCATCAAGCAAGAAGGCTTTGTCATTGAGTTGCAAGACAAGAGCGGTGTAGCAAGTGGCATCACTTGGAGCGACATATGCAAAGAAGTGAACAAGTGCTTGAAGGATGGCCATGTGATTTGGGTACTGATCGCGATCAAACTGAGCGAGACAATGCTGCGCTGGGTCGGAGACAAGCCACTTGTGCTCAAGGCTGGCTACTACCAGGAAGAGGCAGTGTCAAAAAACAGCATGCTTTTGTACCGGCCGGAGTGCAGTAAGCATTGGACTCAGAAGATCGTAAACGGGAAGTTCGAGAAGCTCCCCAGCGGGAAGAACACCACAGGTCAACATACAGAGTTGCTAGTACGTGAGAATTTGGAGGTAGTGATAGCTCCTCCATCAGCAATCAAAGAGTTCCTTGGAGCAGAGGATTTCGAAATTGTCCAGCGCTTGGCTGAGCAAAAGACCGATGAAGCAATTGGTGGAAAGATTGAAGTACCTTTTCTGAGCCGCTTTTACAACTTCGGTTCAAGGGCAAGCACAGGCGGGCTCTTGAACGTTGAGTTGAACTCAAGCACCAGACGTGTACACTTATGTTTTTGCTTACTGAAACCTAGCCTTGAGCTTTTTGTTGTAGACACAGCATTGTGCTGAGACATATGAGGATCTACACAATGTCGCCCCTGTGAGGCCACGATACTGCAACCAGTTCTGGAGCAGGCGCAGCAGTTGCAAGTACTTTTGCGATTGTCAGGCAAATTAGCCTGCGTGGATGATAACAGGGTGACTCAATTCATCATCTAGAACTAATCTTTTGACATGAAAACTCAGCACACTTACAATCAAAAGAGATTTGCAGTTCTGTCAACTCGTTGTCACCGATGGCCAGTTGACATCCTTCAGTCATTTTCAGCATTGTGCTCCGTCAGATTAACCTGACAGGCCCTCCGCCAGCATCTCCTCACCGTGTGACCATTGGCGTGCAACATGGGGATGCCGAGGGCAAAGTGAAGTTCAGCACTGCAGCTGCTCCGGAGGTCATCAAAGAAGCAATCCGCAACGAGCTGCACCTCCCTGAATACCAGCGCTTCCAGCTGAAGGATGCTGATGATTGCGGAGTGCCGGTGGATGGCAATTTGCCACCTGGCAAATACAAAGTCGTCTTGCTCGAGGCATGATGTGTTGTAGCCTTAGGATGGGTGTACAGTATTGTGATCGGATACTGCAGCGTATGGAGTCTTGCTGAAGCTATTCCAGTATTACGCCGTGCATGCAGAACATCATTTTGTGTTTCAAGTTTCACGTTGTACAGTGCCCAAATCCAAAACCCGACACACATTGGTACATGAGCAAAAGGGAGGAAAAGTCTGAAATTGCAAAATGAAATGCCTAGGCGTTGCCAGAAACTGAAAGGGTTTGAGTATACTGATACTTGGCCCTCAAAGCATGCTGTCAGTACAAAGGCGGAGAGTCTGCCAAAGGCCCTGTTGCATTTGGGAGGTTTCAAGGCCAAACAATAAGTTCTATGTTCTAGTTTGTAGTTTGCAGTTTGTATCTCCCAGAAAAATGTGCGATGCATTGTCCGTGGCTCAAAGTGTGTCAGTCAGTGTCATCAGGCTACCCCAGGCTACCCCAAGACCTGCGAGTCCGACTGACACTCGTCAAGAGCTTCAGGCTCGGCGTTTGCCTCGGGGGGTGGGCTTTGCGTACGGGTTTGTCCTGCAAACTCTATGCTCCATGAGGATTTAGTGGAGCACTGTAAGGACGATCCAGTGAAAGATGCGATGTGCAAAACGAATGTTGGCATCACTTCGGCATTCGTGACTATATGAAGGCAAAGCAGTAATATGATTCGCCCATGTAAAGAACCGTTTCACCAATCGCTGTAGGGCGCTGGTGCAGCCAATCTCCAGCCTCAGTTTTTGAGAGGGAGTTCAGGTAGAGAGTGATTGACGGAAAGAACCACAGCCGCAAAGCTGCAAGTCAAGCCCATGATGCCAAACTGCGCCATATCGCCTTGCAACTATTGCTTCCAAGTTCGAGAGTTGGTCTGGCTGCCCCATGCGGCCAGTCCTTGCTACACATCCGTTTCATTCCCCTTATCCTCAGGACACCGGCAATTGTATGGTGTCGTTCTTCTTACGGCAACAGCTTTTCATTCATGGCCCTTGTGATGTTCTTTCTGGTTACTGGAAATACAAGTTTTCGGTGTGTGTGGCTCAGCTACTACCGCCCGCGCACTGAAAATCAAGGTACGGAAGCGAAGAAGGATCAGCAAGGCAAAGATGGCGGGGAGTTGACTGAGAATTCGCCTCTTCCACAGTCACAACGGTCATCATATCATTCTCATCGAAAAACCCCCCGAACACAAAGCAACCACAACGCCATTCAGTAAGTGGGCTCCTACCTGGGCCTCAGCGGGATGACCATCAAAAAAAAACTTTTTTGGCAATCAACAAAAAACTTTCAGCCATCAACAAAAAACTTTTTTAGCAATCAAAAAAAACCTTCCCACAATCTCACTCTGCTGCTTGTATATTCTGTTCTTTTGGTTGGCATTTGATTTTCTGGTTCCTTGAACACCCCTGGTCCCGTGGTCCTTTGGTCCCTTGGTCTTTTGGTCCCTTGGTCCTTTGGTCCCTTGGTCCTCTGGTCCCTTGGTCCTTTGGTCACCTTGGTCCCTTGGTCCTCCACTTTCCTGGTCCTTGCTCCCTTGGTGCCTGGTCTTGGTCTCCTGGTCCCTTGGTCCCGGTCCTGGAGCCCTTGATCCTATGGTCCCTCGCTCCTTTGGTTATCTTTGGCCTCTGCTCTGTTGGTCTTGGTCCCTTCATCCTTGCATTTCTGGTCCTCTGGTCCTCTGGTCCCTTGGTCCCTTGGTCCTTTGGTCTCTTGATCCTTTGGTCTTTTGAGTTCCTCTCTGTTTGGCTTTTGCAGCTTTTTGTTGGGTTTATGCAGCTTTTGCGGGTTTGGCTTTTCGCATCCTCTGCATTACCAGTTTCTCTCAGGTGGCTTTTTGGCTTTGTGCCTATTCAAATCATCACTTTTTCGATCATCATGGGGGGGCCAACCCCCCACTACTATGTAGATTTTTTGCCCCTCATTGAATCATGTGATTAGCCATGTCTTAAACCATCACCAGGGATGTCGCGATAGTGACTGACCGGTGGTGTTTGGCTCAAGTTTACGGGTTCCGTCGCGCCTCGAATGGGTGTCGCCGAGCCCCTGCGACCGACGGCATCTCGGGGGAGAAAGAGACCTCGGGCCGCCGCCAGGTTGGTAGGGACCAGTCGTGCGGCCTGTTGTCGACCAAGGTTGCGGGTTAACCCTTTTCTCTTTTGGTTGTTGTTCTCTGGTGTGTGGGAAACCCTGATCTTTGGGACCGGGGATTGGTTTGCTTTTGGGGAACCTTTCTTTTGTGGCTTGTTTACCCCAACTAACCCATTGCCTGGGCACAGGTTCGTGCCCGAATCACAGGTTATCAGCCGTAGGACTTTCCTACGCGCTTGAGACCATCAACTACAAGCTCTATGTCGACCCCACGATCATGCAGGAGTGTTGTGGATGAGGAGGCCGTCCTAGGGGGTCTCCGCTCAGGTGAGGACTTGCCGGACTATGACTTCGAGGAATTTGAGGTAGGTTCAGCAGGTCAGGACTGCAGGGGGTGAAGATCCCGGTAGGGACACACCCAGGAGCCGTGGCAGGTACACCGACGATGGAGACGATCGCATTTTCCGTCAGGCCACTGGTGACGAGCAGGCACAAAGAGTTCGCTCCGATAGGAGCGCCGATAGGCGTGAGCGGCCATACGCAGGCACCGGAAAGCCCAACTCAATTGATGCAGATAGTTGGAGACAGATGTCCGCCCGGTCACGGGAGATATATGTTCAAGCCGAAAGGGAGTTATCCCTAAGGGAAGAGCGACGTCGAGAACATCCTGAGAGGGACCCGGCTGCTCCCGCGCCCGGCCGCAAGCTCCTGCGTGTGAACCTGACTCACGTCTGTCCGCAGTGATGATGGAGTGTGGAGGCGAGGCAATTCGCGTCCACATTGGCTCATTTGACATCACCAAAGCCAAGGACGTTAGTCGGCTTATTGCGATCATCGAGGATAATCCTGGGTGTGACCTCTGGGCGTCAATTCCGTGTGGACCGTGGAGTACGTGGCAGTATGTCAACCTTTCAATCCACGGCGCTGAGTTTGCATCACACCTGAACGATTTGAGAAGAAGTTCTCAGGTGATGTTCGCAGCATTCCTGCGGGCCTCCCGAGCCGTTAGGCGAGGAGGGGGCAGGGTTGCATTTGAGTGGCCTAGACACTGTCTCGGATGGAAGCAACCGTTCATGCAGAAGTTTCTTGCTGATCCTGATGTTGAGACCGTAGATTTTGACGGCTGTGATTTCAGAATGCAGGACAAGGACGGTGTGCCGATCAGGAAGCAGTGGAAGATTGCGACGACCTCCAAAGAGCTCATTGATGAACTGTCAGGTCGGAAATGCAAACATGAGAAGGGATACCTTCACGCACGCATTGAGGGGTCAGTTACCCCGACGACTGCTCTCTACCCAAGTGCTATGTGCGAAGCTATCGTTAGAGCTTGGTACCCAGACGGCACGTTCAAGAAGGTAGCAAGCGCCATGCCGGTCGGAGTTGACCCGGTTGAGCAGCGATGGAAGAAGAAGCCGAGCACCTTGTATGTTAGTCTTGACAGTGAGACTGCCAAGATCCCGACGCGGGCTACCTCGGGGAGTGCGGGTTTGGACACCTATGCCTCTGACATGCATTCCCGCAGGGGGGTCAGGTTTGGTCAACACCGGAATCTCGATAGAGATGCCCGCTGGGGTATATGCTAGGATAGCTCCCAGGTCAGGACTAGCCGTGAAGAACAGGATCGCCGTAGGCGGTGGGGTCATTGATCCCGACTACGACGGAGAAGTCAAGGTCATCCTCTTCAATCATGGGGATGAGGACTTCATTGTGAATCCTGGGGACCGCATTGCGCAGATCGTACTGGAGCGTGTTATGCTCATTGACGCGTCGATCGTTCCCAGGAAAGCGAAGCGGGGAACCGATAGGGGATCCGCAGGTTTCGGAAGCACTGGCATAGCTGCTGCCGCTCCTACGATTGGATCTGATGGAAAAGCCTTTGAGTTCTCTATGCCCAGGGGGGAGATATCCCTCTCGCATCGACCAAAGAGCTCGGGTGTCTTCCCTCCCTTGTACGCTTGTGTCGCTAGGCCAGTCAACAAGAAGGAACAAGCCGGAAATGCCAAGGCGAAGGCCGCTCTCCGGAAAGAGTGGGACAAGTTAACATCGCAAGGATGCTGGGACTTGTCGACTGTCCAAGAATGGCATGATGTTGCGGCTAGGGCACGAAAAGAAGGGGAGAAGATCCATGTTGGTAGGATTTTCGACATTTGCGTCGAAAAGAATCATGAGCTGCCGGAAGACGATCCGAATCGCAAATACAAAGGGCGAGTCGTGTTCGAGGGATGTTTCGTCCGTGATGAGATCGGGCATTGGGCCTTGTTCTCCGAGAACACCTCCTGCCCCGCCACTATGGCGGCGGGTAAGATGGGTGATGCTCACGGGTTACTCCCAGGGAATCTTCTGGAAGTGAGTGATGGGGAGTCCGCGTACACCCAGGCCCGATTGAAGGGAAAGAAGTCTTGGGTGAGAATTCCTCGTGACCAGTGGCCGCCTGGATGGTTCGACAGCAGCGGAACTCCCAGGTATAAGGACCCAGTCGTTGTCCTCGTGCTCGCACTATATGGACATCCGGACGCTGGTACATTTTGGGAACAGCACTGCAAGGCAATGCTGAAGAGAGTCGGTTACGTCAAGGTGAAGGATTGGGCCAGCGTGTTTAGGCACGAGGCGCTCGACCTCTTCCTTGTCGTATATGTGGATGACTTCAAGATGAGCGGGCCGGCAAAGAATATCGCAGAAGGATGGGCGCTGATCTCAAAGGTCATCAAAATGGAAGAACCAAGACAGCTCACGAGATATCTTGGCTGCGAACATGAGTTCACGCAGCAGTTGGTTAAGGGCCACTTTGATCCAAGACTGGCGTGGACAGTCGGCAATCCTCCTGATAAGGAGCAACCCGACTTGAGGTTCGGCCCAGAGGGGTTACTCTCTAAGGACATTCCCAAGCCGGAAACCACGATAAGGTTCATCAAGTACAGCGAGAGTAGCTTCATGCAGGCGTGTGTCGATAGATACATCGAGTTGTGCCAAGGAAAATACCCGAAGAAGCTGCAAAAGGTTGAAACACCGTTCCTGGACGAGAGCAAGCCGGAATTTGACGAGAATCCGGTCAACTCCGAATTTGACAAGCTCTTCAACCAGGCGATGGACATGGAGACCATCAACGCACA